ATTTCTGGGTCCAGACATCTGGAGTAGAACTGGAATCTTTATGTTAAGTGAGGACCCCAGGTGATTCATATAATCAGACAAGTTTGAAAACATGGTGCTCTGTGATTGATTACAGTGCCATTTCCAATTATCTCTCTAGTGCTTCAATATTTAAGACCCTAATGAACATGAATAATAATTCATTGGAAAACTCTATGCTTCTGCCATCTCTCTGCTCTTAAGTTTGGGAAAACACAGTAATAATAAACTGTGAGTAATAGTGTGACTATTATAATGTAACAAAGTAACAATATAAAGAAATTCTGGGGAAAAGATAGTTTCGTTTAAACAAATGTTTTTAATTACTAAAACAAGACAGTCATTTTCTGAGTAGCCCAGCTGAACTTAAAAAGTAGGAAGAAATAGAGGCATTTTTTTTTTATCTTTCTCATTTCTCTTTGTATGTAGTCTTTATTTCAAGCCTAAGCTCAAAGTCAGAAATGGGTTCTGGCCATTATTGTCAACTAACTTCCCAAATGAACTTGCGTAACACTGGTGACAGCTGTGCAACTGTTGTAGCCAGAGTTTTCAAGGGAATAGATTTAATATAGGACATGTAACCTATAGGATTATTTTCTAAAAATCACTCAAAAACTCTAATGCAAAAGAGTGTGGGAGATTTATCCACATGCTAGAGACTCTAAGAATCCAGCAATGTCCTGCACAAGTCCAGCTGAAGATTTAGAGCCTTAACAGTGTCCACCATGAGTCCAGATGGAGGTCTAGAGCCCATGATAACGTCTCATGCAAGTCTGCATCAAGGATTTGTACTGGGAAGATGCAGGGGTCAGTGGTGGCAATGAGAAGGTCTGTGCCAGACCTATGAAGGATCTATGCCAGCGGACTGAGGAGTCTGCACTGGAACCAGGAAGTGACTCTCAAGTTAAGGACCAGAGCTCCCCTGAAAGGAACTGCAGCCATCCTCAGTGACAGTTAGATCCTGAGTTCCTACAACAGTGACAGTTGACCTCATATCAGGAAAAGCAGCATGACAACTTCTCCAGAGAATCAAAAGCATGCCATCTTCCCTTCCAGTTCTCCTCTTATGCTGGTGGCAACAATCCTCGGGTGGGCTTTACACACCCAGTGCCAGGCCCAGTCAGTTCAACTGGTTATTACAAGTTGACCATTAGTTAATTCACCACCACAAGTGTGCTCAGCTTTCCAGGAAGCCTCAGGTTGCTATCCTCCTCTGAAAATAGTGTTTGCCATCCTGCCTATTGTAGAGAGCTGTGGGTGCAAAACCATGGGAGAAAGCTGTGCAAGTTATCATTTTTCATCAATATGACACTAACTTTATTATTTATAGCATTAATAGATTTTAGTGATATTCAACATATAATATATTTAACTTATTGAATTTTCTCTTCATATGTAAACTCAATATCTATTACTTGGATATTCAATATCAAAGTCCTAATATCTTGCTTAAAATGTATAAACCCATACACCTAATATTACCTCCTAACCAAAGTTTGAAAGAATAAATTTAAGCTTTTCTAAATCAGGAATGAGTGTTATATGCCTTAAGTCCAGTTAAGAGTATTAGTAAAGCTAAGAGAAGCATTGAAAGCAAACGTATTAAGCCATATTTTCTTGTGATCTCACTCAAAAAAAAAAAAAATCAGATATTTTCAAAGGTTTAAAATTAGAATGTACTAGTTTTCAATATACCATATTTAGAGAAAAGTTAAAGGTTGTTATTGTATCACTAAAAGCTACCTTGAAGATGGAAACTTCTATTCTTGTAGTAGTTTTACATCTGGGGGAATTTTTATATGGAAAACAGCTATGAAAGGCCTCCCAAAGGCTAAAATGTAATAATTCCCACTTGTCTTCACCTAACTTCCATCAGCTGTTCCCATCAGAAAATCATCATGATCACTACAGTGACATGAACTCAGAAACAAAAACAGTATAATAATCATTTTAGTGAGACTGGAGATCTGAGACACGTGAGAATTTATTATTTCAGCAATTTTATTTATTTAAATGAATTTTGACCTCTCTACCAACCACAATGTTAAATCAAATAGCTAGAATAAGCAAATAGAGGGAAAAAGAATTAATGACCGATCCTCAAGAAAAGCATTAAGAGCAATCTAGTTTTCTGGATCAGTTTGAGATTTAAATCAAGCCCTCTATGTTATTCTTCTCTAACTCCAATAACGGGTTGTTGCAATCCTTCTGTATAGAGGGACTCGCTCTGTTTGCTGAGCAGTGCTTTAAGTGGCTTTTTCATTTATTCTTCATCACTTTTTAGTTCTCAACATAAGTGTATATACTGTAAAGCATTAGAAATACAGATGCTCCTTGACTTAAATAGGGTTACTTCCCAATAAACCCATTATAAGTTGAAAATGCATTTAGTGTTTCCAACTCAGCATCATAGCCTAACAAGCAACACAGAGTACTGTAGAGTATCAGTTGTTGACCTTCGTGATCATCTGACTGTCTCTCACTGGAGCTGCCCTGCATCATGAGAGAGAATTGTTCCACTATGACTAGGCCAGAAAAAAATCCAAATTCAACATACAGTTTTAACTGAATGTATGTCAATTTTGAAACAAGATAAGCTTGAAACAATCTTAAGTCAAACTATCATAAGCCAGGTACCCTCCGTATACCTATGATGCGTGTCTCAAAGAGCTTTCAGTCTGATTGGGAAAATGAATGATACACAATTCAATAAACATAAAATTATAAACAATTTCATGAAGATATTGAGTAGTATATAAATATAAAGAGTAATGATGGAGGGAAAGAACAGCAGAGCAATTTCAGATGTTCAGGGAGGTCTCTATGAAAATGCGGTATTGAAACCCGGACCTATAAGATGAAAAGGAGCTACTCAGTAAACAGTGGGAGAAGTGTTTCTGGAAGAAATGACGTTGTGGGAAGCTCCAAAAAGGATGCAGGGTTGGCCTACCTGAGGGGCTGAAAGGAGAGGAGGGCGGTAGCACCATGGATAAAAAGGAGCAGAAATGGTATAAAATAATATTATGGAGCAGGCAGGAAAAGTCTCATGTGAGACCTACACACAAATAGTTGGGATTTGCCCAGAAAAGTTAAGAGTAGAAATAGTGCTCAAAGGAATCATTGCCTTTTAGTATATATTCAAAGTAGTAATGCTCCATATTTCCTTTTTTTTATTTTATTTTTATTTATTTATTTATTTA